AGCAGCACATTGATGCTTCACCTAGATGTTGCAGAAAGGAGACATGAAGGAGGCCTGAGAATGGAAATCTCCCACAGGCAGCCATGGAAAGGCTGGGATCTAATAAAGAACTGTCTTGTTCATGGCAGATAACAAAGCTATGATGAAACAGTCAGCTAGGGATGCCCAAGACTCCCTAGACAGAAGAAGTTCAAATCTGGAGTTTGCAGAGTTTCTATTTTATTTTCTTTTGTACCTGCAGCAATAAGCTAAGCATAACAGCTAATATTTTCAGAATAAAGTATTCTTTTTCAAGGGTCTAGTTTGAACCCACATAATGTCCTTTTGCCTATACTACAAGCAAAAACTCCAGACAAAGGCTGGGCTAAAAACAGGCTTCCCAATATCAAAAATAAAATGCTGCACATCCCCTTGCTTGGCACAAGTTTTTTTACTATTGCAGTATCAGGAATGGTGTTTTGCCAGGTTACCCAACCAAATACGAACCTCATCAGAAAAAACATAAAAAATGAACCTCATCAGAAAAGCCGTAATTTTACTTTCACTTATGAGAGGAAAAAAAACACATATCTTTTGCTCTCCTTGATCACACTGTGTAGCTTATTTCTTAACTTTATGTTTCTCTTTCAGAGAGAACAGAACAAAAAACCTTCTCCTGTGCACTTTGTAAACAGGGTCAAAATGACATCACTTAATCCCCTGGCATCTAAATACACAGATTGAAAACATTTCCTTAATAATTCCAACACTGAACCTTTTGCTGTCTAATTTGACTCCTGAGGAACAGATAAAAGGCATCATAAATGATCTTAAATATATCCTGACGTTATGTATGCAAGTGAATTAACTACACTTTCTTGCTGGATGATTAATCTTGTTGATTACAACAGTATGCTTCACTAGCATGATGGAAAGCTTACTCCAGTTCAGTATCCTGACCTACTACTGCTTTTAAAAATATTCAGAAAAACTAAACTATTTTTAGGAAAGGTGGACAGGCAGTGGACAGGAATAACTTATATCAGTAGAAAGATCTGGGATCTTCATTTTAAACGTAGTTTATGTCATTGGTTCTCAAAAGACAACCACCACTTGAAGGCACAAGTGACTTAAGTGATAATCCCATTCCAGTTCTGAGTAGGCACACACAAGTACTGCAGCTGCCCTGCATGCATCCTTCCTCGATTTCAGTAAAGCATTTGACACCAT